GTGAAACCTGTACTTGGACCAGGAAGCAGCAGTCAGAACAGAACAGAGAAACACTGCATGGTTCAGGATCAGGAAAGGTGTGTGTCAAGGATGCAGCCTATCTCTATACCTTTTAAATGTATATGCAAAACAGATCATTCAGGAGACTAGACTTTATGAGGGGAAATGTGGCATCAGGATTGGAGAAAGACTCATCAACAGCTTGAATTATGCCTATGACACAACCTTGCTTGCTGAAACTGAAGAGGACATGAGGTGTTTGCTGCAGAAGGTCTTCAATATGGATTGAAGCTCAATATCAAGAAAACAAAGATTCTCACCACTGGGCCAGTTGGCAGTATCATGATAGACAATGAAGAGATTGAGATTGTTAACAACTTCAGTTTGCTTGGTTCCACAATCAATACTCTTGGCACCAACAGATCAAAAGACGAATTGCACTGGGAAAGTCTGCTCTCAGGGACCTCTCTAGAGTACTGAAGAGCAATGACATTAGGTGATTTTAAAATGTTAAGCCAACTTTGCATTCCTCGATTGCAAATTCTGATGTATAATTATTTTTATACACTGTTGGATCCAAATTGTTAGAATTTACCCCCATTGAGCATTTTTGGGTCCATGAGTATAGAGCTATTGACAGTTCTATTTTCTTATGATTATGATTTCTTATGATTTCTTTGCCAGGTAAAAACTGACTTCATGGAATGAATATGCAAGAGTCATAACCTTTCTAATTTTTGAAAAAGCTTGTGAAGAACCGCAGATCAGGTATCAGATATAGAATCCTGCTTGTCCACATCACCTGAACCTATTTATCAAATGTAGGATAATGTTTTTCTTATTTAAAGATATAAAGAATCTGGGTGACTTGTGATTAAAAAAAGACCACAGAAAGCACTAATGGCAGTTCATTAATAAGTCCAACAGTGACTATTGATTCATTTTGGATACCTGTAGCAGCAAACAAAACCGTTCCTTCTGTCAAACTTGGAAAAATGAAGATCAGAACTTCATTGACTGAAACTGTGTCCCCAAATAATAAGATTTTAAAATCTTTGAAAACAATTCGTATCTTAGCAAGTGACATTTAAATTCTAACTATTGAAAAGTGGGAAAAACAATAAGTCAAAGATATCTAATACCTTCAGAAGAAGTTAATTTCTCTGGAAATGTTTATG